TGTTCAAATGCCACGCCTACTCTGCTTCAGGGATATGGAGTGTGCTTCTTGCTGTGGTAATCAAGTTGCGCTTTGTGACTCGAACACAATCGGACAAAAGGAGATTATCTTTTATTCAAGTGAGCACGTCAAATACTTTTGATATCGCACCGTACGTCACATTTGAGTTGCCAACGAATACACGGAAAAAGTGATCCTAAACACCTATTTTTATTGTGAGTAAAACTATGAAGAAAAAAAACAATAGTTCAGGTTAAAATGGTGGGGATGCCGCGCCACGGCACATCATTGGTTGGGGATTTTACGGGATAGTACGCATGAAACAGGAAAATCACGAAAAGTCAACCACCACTCCTAGAAAGGCCAGAAAGTAAATACGACCCCCCCTCCCAACAATGAGCAAGTACGACCCCCTCCCCCTTTACAACGTCCGTGAAGCGAGAAAAATCAACTATCAAAATAAATTTTTCTCAGCCCAAATACGACCCCCTGTTGGGGATTCCCCAACAACGATGTGCCCTGTGCCACGCGGCATTACTACTATGCGAAGTCATACCTGCTTGTCTGCACCCTCCTACCGACTAGAGCACCGGCGCTTATACCCATGCTGCGGCTTAGAAAAAAAAGTAGCAAGGGAAGACATAAGGGCTAAGGTTAAGTCTCTCCTGCCTCGTAAAAGCCCTGGCGCTTGATTGTTCCGGCCTTACGCTATATAGCAAGCTTTGAGACGATTTTCATCGAGAAGACGCTGAGTTATGACCAAATAGTCCCGTAAGCAGGTGTGGTTCGGCAGCTAAATGACCACGGTGTCTGGAAAGCGGTGGTTCCCTCTCGATTCCCATTACCGCACTAAATTCCACAGCAGCTCTCCAAAGTGCGTGTAGTACCTTGAAGTCGTTGAAACAGAAACTCACTATTGAATAATCTGCAGTGAAATATATGCCCATCACCGCCTCTTTGCTCGAGAACTCTTGCTGAAACATATATTCGATCTTTTGCTGGATTTAAATCGAAGGACAAAGATAGTTCTATGGATTTTTTTCAATGAAAGACATTAGGAGTCCCCATCCATGTGTCATGGATTGTAGGAGCTCAAAGACGGTGAACATACTATCTGCTCCTGTCCTTCGACTCTTCCTCTTTCTCTCCTGAACCGGTTTCTTCTTGTCGATTGTCGCTGGACACCTCTTCGCTCTTTAATATTTTACAATATGTAGAGCTTGATTCTTGCTAAAAGACTATCTTGTAAATATGAATAGCTCACTCCTGATTTCGGCTTGTCTCGCTTCTTTGAGGTGATACCGATCCAGTCGAGCGGCTTGTTAAAATCAACCCTGGCCTCTTTGGCGATAGCTGCTAGAGAGTTTCGCAGGTATCTGGAAATCTGTCCTGATGGTTTTCGCACTTTATGACGCATTCAGACCTCTCAGTTAGGTTTCCTTATGAATCAGATATGAAGACAAATATAACAGACATGTAATCTGGCTCATCAGCGTATTTCAGACCATCGATGTACTGAACAATTCGTTTAAAATCTTCCGGAACGATCGAATAGCAGGAAAGGGACTGCAGTATGAACACTAAGCTATAAGAGCAATATCGTCTGTTGTTCAGCACGCCTGCCCGCGGGCGCCAGATTTACTAACAGCTTCCAATCTAACAACACCTTTTCCCCACGTTTGAATCGAATCTCTGCTTCATTGTAAGAATCTCATCACGTTCGCATCTTTTCCATGGCAGCCCTTTATCGTCGTCAAATAGGTCGTAGCACTGAAACTCGCCCACATAACGATCTGTAGGGAGTAGACAACAATGGAAAGGCGATGCATTGAGGGACATCAGCTGAGTCTTTTATGATTCTGAAGACAAACTGTACACTCACTCTCGATACAATCTTTTCCATTTGGGAGGTGAATGTCTGCAACTGCACTAGCGCGCCACTTTCTCAAAGGTGTACGAGACAGGGCTGCAGGGTAGTGATACTTGCTGCTCCCAAGTCCTCCCACACCCACTAAACCTCGTGAGCAACGTTTGCGTCCGAAAACCAATGTTCTGCAGCGGTAACGCGCCCTGCCAGTGGAACCCCCGACCAGAAGGTGAAGAAGTAAAGAAATAAAGGCGTCTGGTAATATGGTTAGGCTTGTGGCGGCCGTGCGCACAAGCGCGACGGAGTATGGTAATCAGCGCCATAGTGTCCACTTCTTCAACCTTGGTACGCTAGTTCAGATTTTGAGCGGAGTAAAATGGCATTTACTGCACCAGGGCGGCTGCGGTCGCCATTCACCTCTCCGTTTAAAGGAGGTGGATCTACAGGCGTGTTTAAATTGCAGGTTACTGCTGGTGTTCAGGGGATGCCCACGATACTCTATTCGCCTAGCGGACGGTTGGACATGTCAGGCTAGTATGGAAATGTGTCACGCCACCGTCAAAGGCCGTTCTCTTGGCTTTTCGTTGAAAGGCCCATGCGAGCGCGCAATTTGGTAGAAACGAGTAATTACCGAACGCTATGGTGGCAGTCAATATCCACTCTGCTCGCTTCAACAGAACGGTTTAAGGCACCGCGCCAGGCTCCATTTCCGCCTGTCACGCCCAACCGTCCGCAGGGAACTTACACTATAGCTGATAAGCTGGCGTTGCTAGAAGGGACGTAGCTGTGGAAACTGCATTGCAAGGAATGTCACCAGAGCGTTGCTTACACGAAACTAATTGATTTTACAAGGAGGTATTGTTGTAATGTCGATAACTAATCGAAATAAACGGCGCGTGTAAGCGCCACAACGTGGTCCTTCGTGCTACACCCACTTTGAGCCGCACCAGTCAGATCGCCTAGGTGTCGCCGGAGCTCTTCCTTTGGGACGTGTCCCGAATTCGTCGCATTCTACTCCTTATCCCCTTACTCTCACCATTGGGAATGGAGAGAGTCCAGAGCCGCAGCCGCAGGAAGCCTTCAAGGACAGTTTTCACGATATTTTGTTATTGGCTGCCAAAATGCTAAGCAGGCAGCGGCATATAGTGGGAAACATGGCAAAAAAAACGACAGTGCTACTGTCAAAAACCTGGGCGAAGAACAAACTTTGTCGTGTCCCTAATGACAATTTCGGACGAGTTTTCTCTAAGCATTCTGCCAATAACCGCTACTGTGGGTACGACTGCCTATATGTTCCCATATATCCATGCAACACCGCAGCAGCCGCTTCATACGCAAGTCTTTTCGCTTCATATTTTACTTTGCAAATAAAGCAATACGAGAGTCAGGTACGGTCGTCCACTTGTGGGCGGGCGGGCGTGGTGGGCGCTCGGGTTTGTAATGTTGTAGCTCGATAGGGCCCTTTCTAAGGGTGCCTCATTCAGAAAAAGGCACGACGCAGCCCATGCTTAGTTGTCCGCGGAATCGCTATGCTGTCCAGGAAGTATTCTAGTCCTGGCTTAATAGGTTAGAGGATTATTTGTGCTACACTGGTCTTTAACGAATGAAAACGTGGGCGTTGCGCGTGGCTAGTGTGGGTTACGTGGGTCGCTCGTCGCGAAGGGGAGCGTCCCTTAACTAATGCGGTACTTTCGAGCTGCAAGAGTTTAGTAAGCATTCTCCATGCTTGGCGGACAGGGATTACTTTGGTCCCAATTCAGGGTGTATGGTCTGAATACGAGAAGTACGCGGGAGGCGTACCTTCAACACCTGAAAGTTTTCCTGTCTTATGGAAGTGGATGGGCCTCAGCTTTGAGGAGGAAACTCAGCATGTTTTCTGGGTCCTTCCTAGTACAATGATGGTAGTACTGCTCGCTGGTTGTAATGCTGGTGGTGAGCGAAATACTGAGTCATTGCCCCTTACTAGCATTAGATTCTTTAGAAAGTTTTTTAATCATACCTATGTACAGCCAACATTCGGAGATCGGTCTTTTTACGTCTTCGGCTCATTTGCTTATGAGGGCATGCTCGCGATGCGAATCTCCAACGGGCGGTACCGAGGAAATGCAGCATTCTATCCCCCCATTTTGCTTTCCTTTATTTGCTTTTTGATAGGCGTGGTACTCTGAAGCATAGAATCTGAACGTCCTTTGAGGAATGGGAGCATTTTATTCATGGACCCGCAGAACATACTTCACTACTTTAGTTTCTCCTTCAGTGAACTTTCTTGCAATGCCGAAATCAAGCATGTAAATTGTTGTCTCCTTCGGACCAAGTCCGATAGCATAGTTTTTTGAGGTTTCTTTATATGCTGTAACAAGGTGTAGCCTTTGTTTTCGTGGGCGTACGCAAATAGTAATCAAAATCATAATACAGGGCACTATTCTTAGGTACCTGTTCAACAGCAGCCTATTCCTGCGCGCTACGCACTGTCCAACGACACAATTTGGATGTCATACGAAAGGTGCCGCGTCGCCGGTGGCAACTTATACGTTCATTTAATAAATTATAATATCAGGAAGTCAAGACGTATACAGTACCTCCAATATTGCGCGTGAAAACAGTTGTGTTGGTCGTGGGTGAACACAACGGGCCGCGGGACCACATGGCCGATCCAAATTCATTGTGTGGATTGGAGTAACTGGTCGCGCGCGCTAGGCACCAGCTGGGGTCAGGCGGGCCGCCGCTGGTAGGGTGGCAATCCGGCACCGCCAGGAGCACTGATTACGATTCTCGCCGTCTTTCGCAGCGATTAAAGGAATCGCCCACGGAAATCTCGCGTTTTCCTTTCCGTCGGAAATCAGTACATTGAGCTGTGTTCTACACGAGAATAGCAGAAAAAAGAAAAATAACTGGGTTCGTCGCATAGGAAATTCCAAAAAACCCAATTTCATATTCTCCGTTTGAATTCCCGCCGTTAAAAACTCTGCCCAATTGTTCTCGTTGCCGCGTATGTCGCTTGGTGTGTCGTCAGAAGAAAACTTGTGCGTTCTTCCTCACGATGTTACGTAAATACACGAAGGGTAGCCGTGTAATTGCACAACGCGGGCAATTACCGTAATCCAAGAACTGTTTTCATTCGCCCATGGAGCGCATTATGGCAACCTATGTTGGTCATTACGTAGGCAAATAATGACCAACATAGTGTACCTCAAATATTGAATGGATCCTACGCTACAATCGCTTCCAAGGAACCACTCCATGCTTCTTCTGCTTGTGAAAACGGCGAAGTTGTGCGATTTTCACTCGGCATGTGCGCACTAATTGAGAAGTAGTTGTTTTTTAATCAAGTATCTGATCGCGCCGGTTTCACTGACATCATATTGGTGTATCGCTACCCTTGTCTTCATGGATAATTAAAAAACAAGGCAACGGATGAAATGCATACTTGTGAACCAATGACCTCACTTCCGGCACCTGTGTCGTTGCGCACTGTTTGTTCTTGGAGGGTTATACATGATTTTCACTCCAATTCGTTTGTATATTTTGGAGAAGCAGCTTGAATTCTCGCTCCGCTACTATGAGTATCGAGCCTGGACAGGGACTATCATGTCTTGCGGCGCTATTCGCTTCAATCTTGCGAAAGTCTCGATTGTCCTGTGTGGGTCTTCAGTTTGGAGGCGGATTTTACCTTGCGGCCCCGTAGACACCCATTCAGGGTGCTGCTTTGCTTCTCGCTCCAAAAGGAAGCCACCAACGCTTTCGTTTCGAGCGAAAGGCAGCGTCAGCGGCTAGGGATCAAGATGTAGCGAACGCCCGCGTCCACCGCCGTCTAGGAGTAGTGAAAGGGATAGTTGAGGAGACATCATGAAAATGCGCCGTGTGCGACCGCACCGTACAACTGCCAAAGCTTAGAATTAAGCTGGCTTAATGTGAGGTGTAGGGCAGCTCTGAGGTGCCGTAGCACGCACCGCAATCTCACGATGCTCAACCAGCTGTGCTAACCTCCTGCCATAATCTCCACTCTTGGACCCTGTTGTGCGCTGGGGTTCGCCATCTATACTTCAAAGATCGCTAGTGTTCGCTGGCCACGTTGGTGGAGCTAGTGGTCGCTGGTGATTGAATGGATGTGACTTCATGTTCAGGAAGTCGAACTACGCCTAGAGACCTACTTTTATACAAAATCGAAGACGCAACGCTTCAACTTCGAAAACTGCGCAGGAAAGGATAAATTGCTCCAAAAATTGCAGAGAGACGAGAAGCATTGGTCATTTTTCGATCTACTCCCGAAATCCTGTACATCTTCGAACTAATGCGCTTAATTCGTTTCGTCAACCCAACAATTCATTATTTCTTCAATTCTTCACCGATAAGTGAAAAGAGCCGTACCGACAGTTACCAAAGTAGAAGCAGTACGGAATGTTTCCTTGAAAGCTATCTTGATCAAGAACCCCTTGTATAATACTACCACGTAATGACCTAACTCTATAACACCTCAGTTGCACTCCATGGGCGAAAGCAAACACTTTTGGGGTTACGGTGATCGCCCGCGGTGTGCAATTACACGGCTACCCTTCGTGTATTTTTACCGTACATCCTCGGCCTCCACCGATGCGAGTGCGTCCATTCAACCCACCCACCACCCCTCTTTATTTTTTTGTATTTTTCTACTTTCATATAGTTTACAAGAATGTAGGACCTGCTTGTTGCGCAAATTAAAATTTTCGTAAGGGGGACTGCGGAAACGCAGTGACAAAGCAGGAGTTCTCATTCCTAGAACATTTATGTTGTTATGCTGTATCTTTCTGTTTTGTTTTGTTCTTTGTTCATTGATTTAAGTTTATTCTCAGGGAGAGATTCGCAAATTTTCGACATGAGAATTCTAATTGTTGATGCCTTTTATAAGTGCGATGATGTTTCTTTCCTTCGTCCCCAGGTATGCCAACTGTTTCAACAAATAATTTTATCCGCTATCTTGGCCACGCTAGGTGTT